GCGTGGTGAGGTAGGAAGTTGGTGGGTGGCGTAGGTGTGGAGTTGGTGTGGTTGACGCACTGTGTTGTTGTTGTCGTCATTCGTCCTCCTGTGGTGTTGGTGTGGCATTGGTGGAGGGTGTGGAGAGGAGGGTGTGTGATGGGGAGTGTGTGGTGGGAGGGAGAAGGAAGCGTGTGTTGAGGCGTTGTGTTGGAGTGAGGAGTGCTTGCATAATTGCATAATTGTGGTGGGTGGATGTGGTGTTTGGCGGTAGGCTGAGGGTAGAGGGTGGTTGAGCCACGTGGGAGGTGTTTGTAGTGGGACGGGTGGCGCACAAGTTAGTGATGGTGAGGGTGTGAGAGGGAGGCAGGGTATGGGGATGGGGAAGGTGGTGATGCGGAGAAGGGCAAGAGGTGTAAGTGGAGTTGTGATTGGCATGAAAAGGTGCTGAATGTAAGAGTGGGGGGGGGGGATGAATACGTAGAGTGTGTGGTTGGTGGTGTCGTAATGGCAAGACGTATATGGGGATTGTGGAGGGTGGAAGGCGGTGTGAGTGGTTCGAAAGGGCGGTGGTGGTGGAGTTGTTTGTCATGTGTGCGTGTGTGTGTGTGTTGATGTGAAGTAAGCACAGAGGTGGAGGGTGAGGCGGAGGAGGAGGAGGAGGTTGAGGAGGAGGTTACCGTGTCGTGGATGAAATGGTGGAAGGGAGTGGCAAAGTGGATTTGGTGGTGCAGAATGGAGACATTGTGAGTGTAGCGTAAGACCGAATTCCTCATTACTCACTCTAGTTGATGAGGGAAGAGGTATTACTACATCTGTTTGTTTGAGCGCAGCCGAGGATGTGGGTGCATACCTCGACACCTCGATTGAGTGAGTGATTGTCTGTGGCATTGCTTACGGGATGTGTGCATAGGAGGAAGGAGGAGGGAGACGTAGGTAGATGGAGTGTGGCGGTGGAAAGAGGATGAGGAGGAGGAGGAGAAGGAGGAGGAGTAGGGAGGGGAGGGGATGTGAGATGAGGTGTGGTGGGGGACTTCTGCTGGCTTGACGAGGTTGGAGTGGAAGCCAGTTGGACTAGGCAGACGGTGGATGTGTGCTCATCGATGGGGCAGCACACGGAGGCACTCAACTCCTCCTCCTCCCACTCCACCATCGATAACAACGACTAGCGTATTACGCCTTCTACGAAGTGCTGTAAATTAGGATTGACATGTGGGTGAGGAGGTGAGTGGAACTACGAAAATGTGTGAATGGCATGACTTAATGTGTAGACTGGTATTTTAACGGATTGCCTCAATTTGGCACAATTTGTGCACTGTTGCACGTT